TCTTTTTTCTTCTTCTAAGTTTCCAGTACAAAAATGTTGGCCTTTAAGTATATCAAGTATTTAATATCTTGGCACTGTGATCTCAATCCAAGAACTTTCACCTGCTTCAAAGCACCTTTTTTTACATATCCCCACTAATTATATACAAATAATAGAGGGATACATTCATGCCATTTTTAAAACTACGATCCTCACTGGTTGCACCATAAAAGTTCACTTTTTATTTAACTGATGAAATTAGGATATTGTTATTCTTTTACTCATATTTACTCATATGGCCATCTAGTAGCATTGGGCCATCTCTCCCATTCAGGAGGTTGACTGCCAATTCCAGTTTTCATGGGGTCTTTGAGGAAGATCCGCTATTCTTCACTGTAGTCTCTCATCACCTCTTTATCAGCATTGGCAGCTTCCGCACATCCTTGCTGCATTTTGAGCTGCAAGGATAAGAGCATGTCCAAATAAAAAATACCTGTCAGTATTTGATATGTCTCCGTTTATCAGTTCCCTTTCAGAAAGGAGTGGAAAGCGTGTCTGAGTAAGCAAGCAATGACATCATTACTATAGGCCTGTTGTTGTTTTTCCAAGAGCAGTAATGAGAATTGGATCCTAAGTTCAAACTCCACTATTTTCCAGAGGGCTGGCAGGCAACAACTGAGCAGCTCACAGTTATTCCTGCTATTAGTTCTTATTGCTATCATTTCTTGCTTTCTGACATTTTTTGGCCAGGCTAGCCAACCACAGTGAGGAAAAAGAACAGTATTTCTTGCTAAGGACTAATTCTGGGCTGTGACTAAATAAGTACCTGCTTGTAGCCCTAAAGAATATTGGAAGACAGATCTTACATCACGCCAAGACTTCAGTCTGTTAGGCTAAACATTAGTTGTTCATCATGCGTCTTAGCCTCCAGATCCCTTATCATCTTTGTTGCTCTTCTCTGCACTCTAAGGCCTCAGCATCTTTTTTCTGTCATGGTGACCAGAAATCCATGCGGTGTTCAAAGTGTGGCCTTACTAGTGCAGTATAGAGCGACACTATCATTTATTTATTTATTTATTTATTTATTTATTTATTTATTTATAAAATTTATATGCCGCCCAATCCCTAGGGACTCAGATCATACTGGTCTTCTTTATGCTATCCCTTCTGTTGATGCAGCTTAGGATTGCATTGGCTTTTTTTTGGCAGCTGCAGCACACTACTGGCTCATACTTAAGCAATGTTCCACGAAGACACCTAGATTCCTCTTAAAAACGCTACTGTTCAGCAGCTATTGCCCATTCTGTACATGTGTACATTATCTGGCTTTTCCTGCCTATGTGCAGGATCTTAACTTTTCCTACCACTGAACTGCATCTTGTTGAATAGGACCCAATGCTCAAGTCTTTCGGGCTCCTTTTGAGTTTTGGGTCTATCTTCCGAAGTGTTGCAGTTCCTTCCAGCTTAATGTCATCTGCAAATATGATGAGCTTCCATTCAGACCTGTCAGCTAGGTCATTTATGAAGATCTTCAGGAGTATTGAGGTACCATTGAGGACCATGAGCTGAGCAAGGCTGGTCACCGGCAAAAAATGCACAACATTATTGCAACTGAACTGGTTCTTTTCCATTATCCATGACAGTATTCAAGTAGCAACTGCTATCCAATTTTGCAGTGATTTTTTTTTCTCCTATATTCTAGGTTTTGTACATTTTTTATTAATGAGCTTTGAATATTTAAGGTACAGTAATTACAAATGCCATTTCCCAAATAGTAAGGTTTAAAAAAATTAACATGGTGTTAAATTATATCCTAGTCATGTAGAATTATCCATTTACAAACAGGGTTAAATACTGGATTATTTGTGCCTGGATTATTCTAAAAGGGTGATTATGAATTTGTAGAAGATTGTTCTTTCAACAGGAAGACAGGATAGTAAGCTTGTCAGAGTTCAATTTGTTCTTTAAACAATAATTATCTGTGTTTTCTCAAAAGTAAGGCCTACCCCCAAAATAAAGCCCTAGTTTTGGGGTGAGGTACACACTTACAAATCAAGCTGGGGCATGGATTGGGGTTTGGATCTGCCCCATGTGCCCCGCACTCACTTATCTCGCAGCCAGGCCTCTCCTCACCTGCCCACTTCTTCTGTGGTGTTTTCTGCAGCCAGGCCTGCATTTCTCAGGCATAGGCCTTTCTGGAAGGCCTGTGCAGCCAAGAACCGAGCTATGGATTCAATCCATAGCTCTGTTCTGCAAGACATCTGCAGCCGAGGACTAAGCTATGAATTGAATCCATAGCTTGGTACTCAGCTGCCTAGGCTTTCCGGAATGGCCTGACTATAAAATGCAGGCCAAAACGCATCTGCACAATGCAGATGCTCCTTTGGCCCCAGAAGTGGACCTGCTGGGTGGGGCTGTCAGCACCGGAGGTAAGACATCCCCCCAAAATAAGACCTGGAGTCTCTTTTGGAGGGGAAAAAGACCCAGTCTTATTTTTGAGGAAACACAGTATTAATGTTGGCCAATGTTGAGCTTTAGAGTTAGTGACTATAGTCGAATCTAGACTAGACTCTAGACAGAATTCCTGACATTTTTCCAGGAACAGCAGCTGGCATCTTCAGAGCAAGGTTGTCCATATGCAGATCACAAGCAACTGAATAAGGATTGATTGAGCTCCTGTATTTATAGCCAGGTATCTGACAATTTATTGGTCTTTAGTCAAGCTAGTTTCCAATTGGTACAGGTTGGTGAAAGGTGATCTCTGGTTGGTTGTGCCTGAACCTGACTGAAGCTCAGTAATATCCATCAGATTCTGGTTGTGAAAGCTTCTACTGGTAAATGATGTTCTTTAACAGTGATATAAAATATAGCTATTATTTTGTACATAAGTAAAAAAATATTTTTACAATCTTCTTATACATTTACATTAGCGTGTATTTGCTTCTATTTAGATTTTATAGTCTTGTCTGAATTGTATTCATCAGTTTTATATTAATTTTTATTCTTATTTCTATTCTTCCTAATGACAAGGATATATCCAACTAAAAGAAAAAAACTGTCTACCCGACTTTTAAAATGCTGAAGGTGAATGCAATGTTAAAACATATACTGTATGCAGTTTAATTAATGTGTATCCATTCCTTGGTACTTGGTGCATGAAAGCCATGTGGTAACCGGGAGCTCAAGGGGGGCTAATTTTGCACAAAGCTATGGCCAAAAATGCACTGCATCCACTGAGCCATTTTATTTTACGTCACTCAGTTTTCTGTTCCAGCACTCATTTCTTATTTTTTTTCTCTTGAGAGTCCTGGCCTTCAATGTATTCTCTCATGCTGCTAATGCCTGGGATACTTTCTCCTGGTTTGTTAATTTTTTATTTCTTTAGTAGAAATACTATTCCCCCATTCCTTCATTTTGTCATCTAATCCATACCAAAGCACTCTGGCACCCTAGGAAGTACCTAGCATACAGTAGTGGTCAAAATTGTGGAAACCTTTTGGGAAAAGTGTATTTTTGAGGTTTGATGGCTAATAACACCACTTTTTTTGGAGTAGGACCATAAAATTATATATCAATGGAAAGATAATTTAATCAAGAATGTAATGCAACAAAGTTTGTTCAATTATCTGTACTGTATTCTATGAAACGTTATAGCCAAATAACCAGAAAAAGGAAGCACAACTTGCTTAGGCTGATACCTTTCCTTTCCTTCATCTGATTGTAGCCAATGAGCATGAGTGTTTAGAGAGCCAATCAGGTGTCATCTTGTTTTGGCAATGAGCCAATCAGATCACAGTAAGATTCAGTTATTGGTATCATGTATTGAAGCTGAGAGGAGGACATTTGTCAGTGTGTTATGTGATCGCTATCAAGTTGGTTGGTTTTTTTTTTCTTCATTTAGTGAGCTTGTAAAGTAATAAAATTAAAGTAATGGTGCAAAGAGTTGACTGGTTGCCCAGAAAGCGATATAAAATAGTATTATTAAGTGAACAAAGCTACAGTTATAAAGAAAATAAAAGAAAAATTGGTGGAAACTTAACCAAAGGTGGCATTTCTACTATACACTTTTCCCAAAAGGTTTCCACAATTTTAGCCACTACTGTATAGAATAGAATAGAATCTATACTTGCTACTTAGCAAGCAGCAGTAGCAGCAGAGATTTCTACAAATATCCTGTTGGTGGACTCAATAAAAAATTATTTTCCCAAAGGGCAAAAGTTAAGGAAAAATGCTGTCTTTATGAGTAATAAAACTATTAGTTGAAAGCTAGCTACATTTACTCAAAAATAGGTCCACTTTGCTTCTCTTTTCACTTTTCTACAGAGAAACGCATATGAATTGTCAGTCCTTCTTTCTGGAATTCTTTGACACTTGATTGACGAAGTATATCATCTGTGCATTCACCAGGATGAACAAATTAATCCAAAGGTAACTTTCTAAGGGTCCCGATTTAAGGCTATTTGTTAAGTAACCGAAACAGCCTAACCCTTGCTGACTCTGTAACTCATTAACTGGTGGAGTAATCTCTCCTCCTTGCCCTTCTACAAATTGCCAAACTGCAGTTTTCAGAAAGCGCAGTTCTCTTCGCAGATGCTCCCGAATTTCTGTTCGCACCCTTCGTTTGCGCTCCCCAGTAGCCTTTTACATGGATAGAGGTATTATTTGGAAGCTATTCCCCTTAGAATTGGCAAAAAGCCAAGAGTCAAGCCTCCAGGGGCAGCTTTCGGTAAGGACTCCCTTGGGATCGTTGAAGACCGGGGGGGGGGGGACGACGACGTGGCCTTCAATTACTACTGCACACGTGTTGTTTATTTAGAAGGACGACCTCCGTGTTTCACGGACCTTCTCCCACCTATGCCCTCACGGGGCTATTCTTTTTCTCTTGTTCCCTCAGAGCGAGACCGCGGCCAGCTCCGTCTTCCAGCTCTCAGGAGGAGAGAAAAGCCTTTCCACCGGTGCCCTGAAACCAACTCCCCCCCCCCCAAAAAACTAGTCGGGCTTCGCTGAAGGGGTAACCACCCCTCCGCCTTCCAGGGCGAGACGAAGGCCTCGCCGCGCTGCATTGTGGTCCACGCCGTTGTAGGTTGAAGCCGCAAAGGCTGTCGGGAATCCCAGGAGGCGGCGGCCGAACTCCGAGCGGCGGCCCGGGGCTCGGCTAGAAGCAGGCACTGGTCGCCTCCCGGAGCTCCTCGCCGTCCCTACAGCGCTCTCCCGGCACCGGCTCGCCGCCGCTGCCCCTCCGCCGGCCGTCGTGGGGAGGCGGAAGAGCCTTCGGGAGCATCTCCGAATCAGCTACCTCGGATGGGGATGTGGAGGCAGGAGGCGGAGCTACCTGGGCAGAGAAGGCCGAAGTTGAGAGCGAGAAGCGGAGCGCAGAACTCCGCATTGGCGCTGCGGGTCCCCTGAGGCCTCCAGAGGAGCAGCCCTCGGCCCTGGAAAGCCGCGCGGCTTCCCGGTGAGGGGGGGGGGAACCTCGGAAGAGAGGCTCCCCTCGGGGGCTCTTCAGCCCAGTCCTGCAACTTTTCCCCGCTTTCTGCTCTTTTAACTCTCCTGCCTCGTGAAGGTGGCGGTGCGGAGAGCTCCTGCCTCCCCGTGGAAGAAGGGAAGGATAATGGTTGGCAGCCACATCCCAGGGATGATCTTTGGCTCTTGGCTCTTCTTTTGAAGCTTTCCTTTCGCGGCAACCTCCCCCTCCCACCCCCCGAAAAGAGGAATTCTAAGTGCAGGGGGAAGACGCGGAAACTGAAGAGGCGGAAGAGAGGAGCGTCTTCTGGGGCCTCCGGGAGAACTGCAACAGCCTCTGCTACTTTCTTCTTTTTTGTTGTCGAAGTAATGCCGTTGTGACCTAAAGTAACATTTCTACATCCTGCACAATTTTGCACGTAACCTCTCGCCTTTGAAAAAGACTTGTGGACCAGGCTTTGAATAAGGGAGCTTAGTTCCGTAACAACGTTGCTTTAACCATTTGCTTACTGTGGAAAACTAGATTAATTGACCCTCCTGTTGGCTTAGCGTTTGTTAGGAAGATTACTTATTGCCTTGTGGAACTACCCAAGGTGGGGATTATTTAATGAATGAACATTGTAGTCGGAGTGGATGGCTGCTCTACCATATCAAATGCTTTTGGAAATCATTATGCAAACTTGCTGAAAAAAGCTGATATCGTTGGGAAAAATTGGTCTGTGACAAATCTCTTTTATCAAACAAGGTAAGTGGATCAATTGAAGCTTGCACAATAAACACTTTTTATGATCATGAGGTGTGATGGATTATTAGAATAAAATAACCAAAGTGTCCATTCTGAACATATTAGTTCAGTGCTGTTTACATAGTTTAATTTAAAATGATTAAACTCATTCTCATTTGATTATGTAGCTTTTAAAATATTAGAACTCAAATTGGAATGGAGAAAATTGTTTATGTTTAGCTCAATAGTTACAAACTTGTGAAGGGTAAAAAAGTTTGAAACAAATTTGGTTGCCTTTAATAAAGAGCAATTTCCCTTTTTTATGACTCATTTCCAGAAACTTATTAAAGCTTTTAATAATGCTGTACTAAACTGTTTAAATCCCTATACATCTTAATTCAAGCTCTGAAAGTTATAGAATCACAGAAAAGCTTATAATTTATTAATAACATCCAGCATTTACTTGGGATGGAAGAGTTCAGGTCTTAATGATTTATTTGTGATAATACTTATTTGTTCTTTTGAACTTTTTAAATATAATAAGTTTCTTTTTATTAGTTAATAGCATCCAATTGCAAAAAGGCAGGGCTTTTTTTCTCATAGAATGCCCAGAACAGAGTTCCAGCACCTTTTTTGGATAGAACCTTGTAGGGTAGGCAAGGCGGGTTGTATGATGTGTGTGAGTTCCCGCACCTTTTTTTTTTTTTTTTACAAATAAAGCACTGCAAAAAGGTATCTATACTGTCTCTGTATCAATATATTTCTTTAAAATATATTGATAGAGCATCTCCCCCTCCCAAGTTTAGAGAAATAGAAGTAGATAGTAAAAATTTAAAAATTAATTAAAGTAATTATAAGAGTCTTCTAGATACCCCATTTTGTTCTAGCTAGCAGCCAGGGGTGTCAAACTGCCGGCCCACTGGCCGGTTTCATCATGTGTAGGCCACACCCACCCCAGCTCCACACCCCAGCTCCAGCAATGAGAAAAAAGTCGCGATATGTCACGACATGTCACGTGATGCGATGAGTTTGACACCCGTACAGTAGGCTATGATAGTTGATTAATAGTCACATGAACAAATAAGTTTGCTTTAATCCTGTTATGTCTTTTGCTGAATGCATTTATTTCAAATTAATCTATCTGGAATTATCAATGCAGCTGCTGTATTTTCTGTACTAGCAATTAATGTAAATTAGAATGTCTGTACTTACCCTTTACCATATGCTGGAATCAGATAAAGGTCTACCCCTATACTTTTTCATTAGCACCTAGTAAGGTAAGTTAGAATTTTAAACAATTATTCATGTCAAGTGAACTTTAGCACGGGCAATTATTGGTAAGTTTTATCAAGTTATATGTTACACACAGATGTCTGATACTGTAAATTTGTAAAGAAAGTGTGACAAATTCAGATAAGTATAATTGGATGCTTGTAGCTAGATAACACTGTAGCATCTTAGTTTTGCTACTTGATTTGATCTTTTTATCATTTCATAACTAATCTTTACATTCATTTCAAGATGATGTGTGAAGTGATGCCGACCATCAGTGAGGCAGAGATTCCCTCCGGGGGAAGTGGAAACCGTGGTTCAGGTTCTCCCCTACAGTCGGATGCTGATTCCCATTTTGAGCAATTAATGGTATCCATGTTGGAAGAGCGTGATCGCCTCTTGGACACACTGCGAGAAAATCAAGAGACACTTGCATTGACCCAGGGTAAACTACATGAAGTTGGCCATGAGAGGGATTCTCTACAACGACAGCTTAATACTGCACTTCCTCAGGTATTTATTTAAATGAAAACATATTTAAATTTAAAAATGTTAAAATCAATATTTTAAGTTTAAATTCATTTCCCTAATGATTATTGGCCAGAAATAATAAACCTCCAAGGAGATTGTGTTTTTCAACAATTAACTTAATAAAATAAAACACTGATAGAGATTAGTTCTTCTTTTAATGGGATTTCTAGGAATGATGAAACAAAATATTTAATATGAGTGACAGAGTTTGAAAGGTTGCTTTATTGTCCTTACCCATTTAATTTAAAAAATCTAGATTTTTTTTTTATTCTGAAGTTGTGAGCAACTAAATCATACGAGTTATTAAAGTGAAACATTTCTTGGCCAATACTGTAGTGAAGAGAAAAATGTACTTGCCATGTAAGAATATGTAATAAAGATATCTAATGATCATGTTTATAATGGGGCTTTCTCCTACAGAACCTAACATTAAACCAATGTTTGAAAAGAACTAGCTTTTTTAAAACTAGAGTAGAATGACAATTCTGGCTAGAGGAAAAATAAAAGGTATTTACATAATTAGCAGGTCTAGCATCCTGCTGTTCTTCTGATTGCACTAATGTTTTGTCATCATAATCTGTCCTTTTATCAGGAAAGACATGTAGTTTCAACTTTTAACTTATGGTTGTGGATCTGAAAAATGAAATTATGCAGCATATTGTGACTTAGCCACTATAGTCTTAGCTTTTGTCTCTGAAATTTCATATAAATAGCTTCAATATATTATTTTAATAGTCTGGCTGATTAAAAACTCTTTTTTTTAATTTAAAAGTTTTATAAATTTATTACAATATAAACCCCCCACCCCTATTTCCCAGAGCTGATTACAGGGTAAAAAATAAAATAAACAAACACAATCTAACTAACATAACCCAACTATACTATCAATCAAAACCATAACACACTTTAACTCTTCTCAAAACAAATATTAACAAATTATGTCAAAAATAATATAATTAAAACTAATAATAATTATCTAAAATCTACTCAAAAGCAAGATAATACTTTTCAATTTCATATTTCTTCTGAATGTAATCAATCCATCTTCTCCAAACCATAATGTAATTTTCTTGTGAATGATCCTTCAAGTAGGCGGAGATTTTCGCCATTTCTGCTAAATTAGACATTTTAAGTATCCATTCTTCCAAAGTAGGCAATAAGTTTTTCTTCCAATATTGCCCCACCAATAATCTTGCAGCTGTTATAAGGTTCAACATCAAATTACTTTCTTTAACATCAAAATCTACAATAATACCCAACAAAAATAATTGCGGAGTAAACTTTATCTTTCTCTTAAAAATCTTTTGAATATTCCACCAAATCTTAATCCAAAAAGCTTTAATATCTCTACAAGTCCACCAAATATGAAAATAGGTTGCATCTAAATTTCCACATCTCCAACATTCGGGCTGTAAATTCAGATACATGCGAGACAACTTTTGGGGATCCAAATGCCATCTATAAAACATTTTATAATTTTTTTTCTTAAATTTTGCGCTTGAATAAATTTTACATTTCTAACCCAAATTGTCTCCCATGTATCCAATAAAATCGGCTCTTGAATATTTTGCGCCCATTTGATCATACAGTCTTTAACTAACTCTGTTTCAGAATCCAGTTCTATTAAAACATTATAAATTCTTTTTATATGAGCTCGACTTTGATCCTTAATCTGTTTTACCAAATTCACATCCTCTAAAGTAATACCAACCTTTTGATCTATACTCCATCTCGCTAACAATTGGTTATAATAAAACCAAGAATATACAATATTTTCTTGCTTCAACTCAGTTAAAGACTGTAATTGCCAATGCTGCCCAACCAAACTAAGTAATTCCTTATAAGAAGCTGATTAAAAACTCTTAACAGTAGTGCATACAGTATTTTTTAAGGAAAAGTCTGAGCTTTCTTTAAGAATGATTTGTCCAATGGCACCTATAGAACTTTATATCTGAGTGAAAATTTCATGTTTCCTCCATGGTAATAACAGCAGCACAACATAATTTTTCAGCAATATAACACTTCCTCAATATTTTGGTTGTGGTCATAAATATATTGTGGAAGAGGATCTTCACATATTAAAAGATAGGAAAACCAAGGATCATATGAATAGGATCCTTTATGGTAATAGCCATAGCTTGCTTCCACTGGATAACATATATATGAAGTATTATATTGTAAGCTACCCAGAGTCATTGACTAAGATAGCTGGCCATAGGAATTGAACAAATAAATAAATTATAAAGTTGTTCAGATGAGCATATTTGTGTATGCATACCTGGTATATATTTGTATGTATATATGTATATGCATGCATACATATTTGAATATCATTTAGGAAGTCCAAATCTCTATGCTTCCTGTTGACAATTATTGGAAATTGTAATAAATTGTAACTCATTTTTTTCTCTGCTTCACTAAATTAGATAAACTGTGAATGATTAGAAGTTCCTTATGTGCCATGTGGTAAAGATTCAATTTTTTTAAAAAAAATGGTTTTTATGGTAATTGTATTAAATATTACAATAAGAAAAGACAAGAACGAATACAAACTAAAAATAGAAAGTGCAGGAAAGTAGGAAGAAAAGAATATAGTAAAAGAAATATATAAACAAATGATTTCCCCCTTCATTATAACAAGCATAAACAATTTTAGTAAATCATCACCTTCTCTTTAAAATACAATAGATTATCTCTTCTTCCCATATTTTAATTCTTGTCTATAAATAAATCTTTAAAACTTAATTGTTTAGCTTTGCTTAAGTCCATTAAGGGTCCAGAGATAACTGCGTTTTAACCTTGATCAAATAAACCAACTTGTTAATTTAAATGTTTTTAAATAGTAGTAGTAGTAATAATAATAATAATATGATGATGATGATGATGAAGTTGGAAGGGACCTTGGAGGTCATTTAGTCCAACCCCCTGCTCAGGCAGGAAACCCTATACTATTTTGGACAGATGGCTGTCCAGTCTCTTCTTAAAAACTTCCAGTATTGGAGCATTCACCGCTTCTGGAGGCAGGTTGTTCTACTGGTTAATTGTTCTAACTGTGAGGAAGTTTCTCCTTAGTTCTAGGTTGCTCCTTAGTTTTAGGTTGCTGATAAAAATTATCTTTTTATCATTTTGTAAGCTGCCCAGAGTTGCTTCAACAGCACAATGGGTGGCATTTAAGTTTAATAACTAAAAAAATGGTTGGCATTTAGTTTAATAACTAAAGTAAAAAATTATATTACTTTCTTTTTACAGTGTTGATTTTTAATCTCTTCTAAGACTGTCCTAGAACTTGATTTCTTTTCATTTTTTTTTATCCTTCACACAAAGTCCTTTAAGATTTTAACAAGTCTCTTTTGTAAATCCAAATTAAGAAAATTATCCAGATCACTCTTTTGGTTTGTTATTTGTATACTCTTTTAATTATTAAGACATCAGCCGGTTTTATTTGTATATCTGGTGTAGCATCTTTTTCCATATCAATTTGTAGCCTCTCATTTTTAAAGTCATTTTCAAATCAGGAATGTCTTCTCTGGTAAAACTTGTTCTTCAACCATAACATCTTTTAAACATAGTCTATCTCTAATGGTAGACATGTTTAAAATTAAGTTCTGGGTCCATTGTTCACAAATATCTTTAAATGTGTCCAGTTAATGTATTTTGCTCCATTCTATTAGTGAAATTTAAGTATTTTTCTTCTTTAATTGTAATCTTTAGTTTCTTCTAATTCTCTCTAGTAGTCAACTTTAAAAATCTTTTCCTCTCTTCTTTTTAAAGAATTCAAAACATCATTTTCTCACATTCTTATAAGAATTCTTATAATTATTTTCAAAATCTTATTTTGAATCATATCTAGACCTTAATCCATTTGTAACTTTCCAAAATCAACATTCTAATCATACATTTTCTGTTTATTCCAAAAGAAAAAAATGAGGTCCTTAAACTTGCATTTAAAACTTTTGCTAAAGATTGAAGGAAACTCACCCAGTGCTCTAAAACCTGTCACTGCAACGATTCCTAATACCTGAAAGCACTTAAGCAGTTGCCAAAAGTGATTAAGAAATGAGACTTGGCAAATCTTAGATCCATATAGGCTGCATTATGTCTGTGAGCTGCTTGAAATCGTTGGCTCCCAGCCCCTCAACTTACAAGTTGACCACAAAAACCTCAGTTTCTGCAGTCTGTTCATGAGACACAGCTGTCTGGAGAACAAGTGGTTGATTTCATGATCTCTGCTTTTCCTGGAGAGACTTTGCAGTCTAGCCACTGATCTCTGATGCAATTCTGACCCTGCTCCTTTAGGGATTTCTAGTTCACTATGAATCCTCACTAGAAGTCATCCCAGTTGAAAATTGGTGCCTGTTTTTTTCTTACTCTGGGTGTGGTCCATTTAACACTCCCCCCCCCCATCTAAACATAACCTTTGTGTTTCTTAGTGATTTTGTAGGAAATTTGCAGACAAAAGTATTTCTTCTGAGATTAATATTAATATTAAATCTATTAGATAAATAGATTTAGGATATCTTGTGCTTAAGGGTTCCACCCTCCCCCTTCCAAAGAGCATGTTTATATCCCTTTGTTTTGTTTTAATGGCAATTAATAGGAAAATGAAGGAATTTGTTTACCCTTCAGTCTCTCTGGATTTTTTTTTTTTTTAGAAATTTGTAAGAAAATACATCATTCATAAACACTGAGAAAAACATGTAAAATATCTTAAATGGTGAATTTAGGGGAGGTGTTGTTAAAAATTAATAAACTACTCAGTCATAGTCATAGAAATGAAGGAGTTGAACCTTATAGTTTTTGCCTAATAAGATAGATATAATTTTCTTTTGAAACTGAATCTGTTCTTGAAGTAAATTCATATATTTGGCTAATATTTATATTTAAAGAATTTAAGCTGCAGAGCCACATACTTTTAGAGTATAACACTTAATAATAGCTTATTTTGAATGCAGGCCTAATTAAGCATCTTGGTTTGACAATGT